ATAATAATAAAATAAAAAATTTAAAAAAGAAAGTTACTTCAAATATAATGATGCAAGTACCTTAGAAAAGAATGGCAAGACAAATAAATAACAGGAATAATATACACTGGACAGGAAGAAATGAAACGCTCCCTATTCACACATAATATGATTGCCTACAGAAAAAAATCCCAAGAAAACTACAAAAAAAGACTTCTAGAACTAATAAGTCAGTTTAGCATGGGATACAAGGTCAACACACAAAAATCCGTTGAACCTCTATGTACTGAAAATGTGTAATTAGAAACTGAAATTCAAAAAATGATACATTGACAATAGCTCCCCACCAGGAAAATGAAATTACATAAAAAACTAACAGAAGATATACAGATATGAATGCTGAAAGCCACAAAACACTGATGTGAGAAACCAAAGAAGACCTAAATAAATGAAGAGATAAACCACGTAGTGATTGACTCACACAGAACTGACACAAAATGTCAGTTCTCTCCAAATTGATCTATCCATTAAATGCAATTCCAATCAAAATCTCAGTAGAGGGGCACCTGGGTGGCTCAGTCGTTAAGCGTCTGCCTTCGGCTCAGGTCATGATCCCAGGGTCCTGGGGTCAAGCCCCGCATAGGGCTCCCTGCTCAGCGGGAGGCCTGCTTCTCCCTCTCCCACTCCCCCTGCTTGTGTTCCCTCTCTCGCTGTATCTCTCTCTGTCAAATAAATAAAATCTTAAAAAAAAAAAAATCTCAGTAGAATTTTGGTAGATACAAACAAGCTGATTCTAAAATTTATGTGGAAAGGCAAAGGAAATAGAATAGCTAAAACAGTCTTGAAAAAGAAAAAGTTGGACTCAAGCCATCCAATTTTAAGACTTACAATAACACTACAATAATTAAGACAGAGGAGAGACAGACACATGTATTAAGAAAACAGAATAGACAATCCAGAAATAAATCCATACAAATGTAACCAATTGATATTTTTTAAAAAAGATTTTATTTATTTGACACAGAGAGAGAGAGTGCAAGCAGGGGGAGCAGCAGAGGGAGAGGGAGAGCCCAAGACAGGCTCAATCCCAGGACCCTGAGATCATGACCTGGGCCGAAGGCAGACACAACCTACTGAGCCATCCAGGCGTCCCCCAACTGATTTTTGATAAAGGTGTAAAAGAAATTCAATGGAGAAAAGACAGTCTTATTTATCAAATTGTAGACAAAATTGGACATCTATGTGCAAAAAAAAAAATGTACCTCAAACTAAACCTTACATCTGATACAAAAATTAATTCAAAATGGATCACAGATTTAAATGTAAAACATAAATCTACAGAAGTTTGGTGGGGGGGTTGGAGAATGGGAGAAAACCTTTGGGACCTGAGGCTAAGCAAGGAGTTCTTAGGCTGGACACCAAAAGAATAATCCATAAAAGGAAATATTGATAAACTGGACCTCATTCCAATTAAAACTTTTGCTGTGCAAGAGACACATTATGAGAATGAATGTGCACTGGAAGAGAGTTTTGCTATCATATATCTGACAAAGACCTTGTATTTAAAACATGTAAGTAATTCTCAAAACTCAATAGTAATAAATGGAATGTATAACAAAACATACAACCCAATTTAAAAATGGGCAGACTTGGGGCATCTGGGTGGCTCAGTCAGTTAAGGGGCCTACTCTTTTTTTTTTTTTTTAAAGATTTTATTTATTTATTTGAGAGAGAGAGAATGAGAGAGAGCACATGAGAGGGGGGAGGGTCAGAGGGAGA